ATAAATAAGGAGGAAAAAAAACCTGACCCTATGCCAGTGTGGAAAACTGTGACAGTATCATAAATACACAGAAATTGATTATACCACACACCTCAAGATACGTTTTTTAGAGTAGGGTAGAGCAACTTTCATAGCTATAATAAAGAAATCCCATATTGATCAATATGCTATCATTCATTGTGCCTACTCCTAAAACATGTATAAATAAGGAGGAAAAAAAACCTGACCCTATGCCAGTGTGGAAAACTGTGACAGTATCATAAATACACAGAAATTGATTATACCACACACCTCAAGATACGTTTTTTAGAGTAGGGTAGAGCAACTTTCATAGCTATAATAAAGAAATCCCATATTGATCAATATGCTATCATTCATTGTGCCTACTCCTAAAACATGTTAATGATTTTCTCCTATTTTTTTTCTTTTAAAAGTGCTTTTAAACTACCAATGTTAACAGAGTATAGGTACTTTTCTAATGTAACATAATAACCCAAATCTACCTAAGCAATGGAATCAAGGTTGAAGTAGTCATTTCACCCTTACCTCACCCTTTTCTGCCTACATGTTGTAGTAAGATTCATGGTTCTTGGGGAGATTTCATGCCACAGAACTGCTTAAATGCCATAGCACACTACGTAGAGCCACTGTCTTAGACTTATCCCTATGTGGAATGAGTCCCCATAGTGCTTTTTTAAAACTACCCATTTTCCCAGAGACAGTGCTAAAATCCCCCCTTGTTTATGACTGCGAAATCTATACCTTTTTTGCAATTTTGAGCTGCTATGGTTGTTTGTGATTGGTCATGAGATACTGGGTTGGGTTTTCTGATTGGCTGACCATACCTCATATTATCAGGAGACTTAGCAATTTACTCAAAGGGTGATCATCTATTGTGTGTGCTCTCTCAGACAGTCTGCAAGAGATGTTGATAGAACCAAGGATAAGTGTTTATCATACACTCATCTGTTTGAAGACATTTCTGAGACTTTAAATTGGTAGTACCCAACCTGGTGACCTATTAGTAACAGTAGGCCCTAGGGCAGTGGTTCCCAACCTTTTCAGGTTGTCGGGCGCCAGGGAGCGTGGCCGTTCGCCCGCTGGGCGCCAGGGGGCGGGGACACTTGCCTGCCCGGGGGCAGCCCCCCCCAGCCGCATGCCCGGGGGCGGGGCTCCCCCCATAGCCATGCGCCCGGGGCCGGGGCCCCCCCCATAGCCACGCGCCCGGGGAAGGCGCCCCCCGGCAAGTGCCACGCACCTGGGGCCGGTGCTCCCCCCGTAAGAGCCGCAGGGCCAAGGCCGGGGCTGTGGCCAGGGCA